AGAGTTCTCTTGCACTTCAGAGAATAATCTTGCTATATTTAAGTATGAGAGCTGCAGAACATGAAATACAATCTTATTCTTAAACTTAATTAATTTCAAAGATTTAATCTGCAGATTCAATGATGTACATGTTATATATAATTAACTGATAGAAAGAAAACAGTTCATACAATTCTATTAACTGATATAAGAAGAACATTTCATGTCTCTGATGTAGAAGAATTAAATCTGCTTATATATTAATAAGCAAAGAGAATGATTTTAGACCTTATCTGAAAGCATTCTGTATGTCATACAGAACTCAGAAGCAGAGAAAATCAAGATAAAGAATATATGAGAGAATAAGCATATGAAGAAGCTTCTGAAGAAGTATGAAAAGATCTTCTGAACAGACCTTTCACTGAAATTGCTACTGAAATAAGGATTTGTATATGAGATTGACACAGAGAATGCAAAACCAGTCAATCAGAATGCATACTCTCTGTCATAAATACATTTCAAAGAATAGAAGTGTCAGATCACAGACCTTCTAGAATATGATCTTATACAACTCTCATCAAGTGTGTGAGACTTTTCAGTTCTATTCATGAAAAAGATGAATGAAGAGTGACAGATATGTATTAATTATCAAACACTTAATAAGCTTACAATCAAGAATGAATATTCACTATCACAGATTCAATAACAGTTGAATATGATTGAAAACACTTAATATCTATCAAAGATTAATCTTCTCTCAGAATACTGACAGATCTGTATAGATAAACTGTCAGTTCTGTGAACTGTGTTTAATATATAATGAGAGAAGTTTGAATTCCTGGTAATATCATTCAGTCTGATAAATGTGCCTGTCATCTTTCAAATAATGATGAATATGATTCTTCATAAACAGAATGAAATCTCATATCTTATATATCTCAATGATATTCTAGTCTTTTTAAACTCATATAATGAATATCTGAAGCATCTTAATGAAGTGTTTATAACTCTGACAGAGTATAAGCTCTATACTAAATCAATAAAGTATGTGTTTAAAATGAAAGAGTTGAAGTTTGTAGAACATGTAGTGAGTGATAACTGTATATATCTCATTCTGAAGAAATTGAATGTTATAGTGAATTGATCATAGCTGAGAAATGTACATTATGTATAACAGTTTCTTGAGTTGATCTCATATTATCACAGATTTATCAAGAATTTTGCATGAATATCTGCATCACTCTCAGATCTCTTAAGAGAAACAGATACAAATCTGTAAAAGAAGAAGTTTTATTCAATTATCTGAAATACTGCATGTGAAGAGGCTTTTCTCACACTGAGAAAATATATAATAATATTCTCAGTGCTTATTCAATCAGATTGTGATAAATCTTTCTATATTAAGATAGATGCATCTGAATGAGCTATCAGAGATGCTCTTCTACAGATGAGCAAGAATAACAAGCTACACTCAGTGACATATGATGATAGAAAACTATCAGATACTGAGCTCAATTACTCAGTGTATGAAAAGAAATTACTAGTAATCAAGCACATACTGATATTATAAGATAGATATATTAATAACAGATATATAACAATGATGATCACAGATCATGAAAGTCTTATCTATCTACAATTGATAATAAAACCTTTCAAACACTTAGTACATTGAATCTTGAAGTTCTAAGTATATAATCTTCATATCAAATACTGAAAGAAATTGAATGCTGTGATACCTGATATAATCAGTTACAGACTCAATTTCATGAGTGAGAGTTCTGTGAATCAGATATAAGAGAAGTTCATATTAAATGCACTGAGAGAGTGCAAGGAATCAGAATGAGTGAATGCCATGATCTCTCACTTGAAGAATGACAAGATGTCAGATAATAAGCATCTTATAAGAGTAGTAGAAGAGATGCTTCTGAACTTCAAGCTGAGAAAATTGAAAAATGACATTGTGCTTTACTGTGATCTAGAATATGTAGAAGCTTTCTATCTAGAATCTTCATTTAGATGTAACTTAGTGACTCACATGCACAAGGAATTCAGTCACTTAGAAAGCTCTGAACTCATGAGTATACTTAAATCAAGAGTATACTAACCAAGCATGACTGAGAACATTCAGATGTACACTCATGAGTGCTTGAATTGTCAGATTGTGAAAGAATCTAAGAAAGAATTAGAACATGAGAAAGTGCAACATCAGATGAAGTATATAATACAACTGTTCAAATAATGAAGAGTGAATCTCATAGACATATTACTGTGAACATTAAATGAAAATCAATGAATAATCACTGCTATTGATTATACTACTGACTGGTCAGTCATGAAAGCAGTTTCAGAGATGACAGAGAAGATAATAGTAAAGTTTCTACATGATGAGATCTATGTCAACTATGAAATATCATGCAAGATTCTAACTGATAATGATACAAATCTTATGAAAGAAGCAGTGAGGCATTTCATAAGCCAGTTACAGACAAGACATTGTAGAACAACATCATATCATCTGTGAATAAATGAGAAGATGAAACACTTGAATGAAATCTTGAATAACATGCTGATGAAATATCTAGTGAGCAAGTCTATAAGACTATGAAATGAATATCTCAGACAGGCACTATTGATCACACAGATTTGACAGCATGCAGTCTTCAAGTATTCATCATTCTACCTGTTGTATGAATTGCATCCGTACATCCCGGAGAATGCTTTGAAAAAGATGGAAGAGAAAACAGCAGTTGTAAATACAATAGTCACAGACACAGCAGAAACAGCAGTTATGAACACAGTAGTAGCAGTTACAGATGCAACAGTTGTGAACACAGAATCAAGATTGAAAGAAATCAGCCATGCACATGCAAAAGCTAATGAGTTACTCCTGAATCAAGCAATTCAATTGAAAAGAATACAAGACTTACTAGTTAAGAAATCAAGTCTCAAGATAAGAATATAAGTTCTCATACATAATAAGAGTTCTGAGAAGTTTCAATCTAGATGATTTGAATTATATAAAATACTCAAATCACATTCTCTGAGAATATATACATTGAAAGAATCAGAGAGACAGATCTTACACAACTTAATCAATAATTTATAACTTATAAAAGTAAAGATATAAGATCTGAGTGAATTATAATCATCTACAGCACTATCATCAGTGTTGAAAAAGAAGAGACTTATAATTGAAAAGTCTCATGAAGTAAGAGAAATTATAGATGCTTATAAATCAGATAATCTTACTTATTCTGATCTTTTTATAATTATAAGAAAAGAATGAAAAGCAATGAAGAAATCAGATGAATATCACACTATAATAAGTGATGAGACTGTAGCTGATTATATAATAACACACTGCAGATAGCAGGTATAATACAGTAAAGAGTGATCTCAAAGCAGCAGACTTGTACATAAGTCAGATTACAGAAGAAAAAGAAATTCAGAGTTGAATTCAACTGTTTACATCAGTTCAATTGTAAAGATTACAGAGAATGAACTATCTGAAACATTTATAAACATGTGAAATCAAGCCATCTCAACTTCTGAAGATACTTAGAGATTGAATGAGATTAGTTTCAATGAGCTGTTCACTGTAGTGATCTGAGTGAGTGAAGAGAGACAGTATAATATATGAGATAGAATTATAAAAGATGAAAGCTGCTGAATCTAGTCACTGAACACTGTATTATATAGAGATTGTATAAGAGTAGTGACTAGCAGATAAAGAAAAAGTGTAAGAAAAGAAAAGAGATAATGAATTGATTATCAACTGTAAGAGTCAGCTGTAAAAGATAAATGTTATTATATACATCTCATTTATTTTCATATATCACATATTTAATCTATTTTCACTGTTATATCATCTGAAAAACATCAAAAATAAAGAAAATCTCAAAACTTGAGATTTATAAGAGATTTAAGAGCTGTAAGTCACTCTTATAATAACACTGTATATATCTTCAATTTCTCTATCACTCTGTATACAACATTAATGTCATTTATTGCAAGATTGACTGAAATATCAATATAGAAATGTGTATGCGCACACATAGAAAAATTGAAGAAGAGTGCAGAACCTGCAGAATCAGAAGCCAGAACAGAGAGAGTGAAGATAAAAGAAATAGAAGAAGAAGAAGGCACAGAACTGAATAAACAATAATGAGAGTCATCTGAGACTGAACACTTATAACTCAGTGTGCATACAATCTTTTCTGCAGAAGAGAAAGAGAAAGTGATGAAAGAAGCTTAAGAGTGAGAGAGAATAGTCTCAGTGATATTGTTATCTTTGATTAGAATGATCTCTGACACTGAAGCAACTAAGAATCATTATTAGTGTATGAAAATTACAAAATCAGAGATGAGAACAGTTATCAAATGAACATTCACTGATTTTAGAGTTGTATACACAATTACAACACACATGAGACTTCTCAGAAAGAGAGAGAGAGACACAGAAAAATACAGAAAGCAGAATACAGTATATGAACAGCTTATTCTTATGATAATATCTCAGACAAGATGTACAAGCCTTACATTTATAAGTGTAAAAGAGTACAACATCTGCATTTTCATTTCTGAAAACATGAATATCTTTTGTCTATATCACAAAATCAGATGACAGATATCAGAGAATAGACTGATATAGATCTATTATTCTGAAGAAATTCATCAGAGTGAATATTCTTATAATATTGAACTTTATAGTTATAAAAAGTTTCTTGATATCTATGAATATCACAACTTTATATATAATAAAACTCATAATAATTTCTTCTAAGAATAGAAAAATCAGCATCAGAAAGAAAAGATAAAAAGAAAAAAGACTTATAATCTTAACACTGTTAAAAGAGAGAGTAATTCTCTGATATAAATAAATAATTACTTCATCACAAATATTTAAAATAAATGTAATAATTAGTATTTATAATCAAGCTTCAGATAGTTATATTATACACTATCTTTATATAATAAATTTTTCTAGAGATCAGTAAGAAGAACAGAAGTGTATATACTAAGAAACATGATTCACTGAGTCTATACAATATCTTCTTGAAATGAGAAGAGCTAGTAATAAAGGCAGTGATGAAAGCAGAAGTAGCAGGAGTAGAGGTCACAGAAATAGAGGTAGTGAGAGCAGAAGAATCAGACACAGAAACAGATGTAGAAGATTGAGAGAAAGCAGCAGAGAAAGAAACAGAGAGAATAGAGAGAAATATAAGAGACTCAGTTACATATGACACAGACAATTTCTTCATTATTATATTCTTCAAGTTCTTAATTAATAATTCAACATTGAGTTCACTATCATTAGCAGATGCAGATCTGTTAATATATAAAGATTCTATGTAAATAAAAATAAACATCAGCATCTGCATTTATGCAAAATCATGCTAGAAAACATAATTAGAAGTCACTGAGAAGAAAAACAGTTGAGAATGTATAAGAAGATAAAGAAGATATACTATTTATAATGATACATTCTGACAATTGTTAGAAGATAAACAAGTTCAGTTATATTTCACAATATATTATACTTACTGCTAATAAACTGTCTGATATGAGTACTACAATGATGCTTATTGTGAGAACAGAGAGTCATTGTCAGAAATGTATACAATGTAATAGATAAACAGATAGAAAGAGTTGAACAGAAGTTGTAAGAAATCCCGCTTCTCGCGGATTCTTTACCTCTATTCCTATCTCTCATGTAATCAATAGGGCTAGCGGCCCTTGACTACACACAACTATATAGACTGAAGTTCACGAATACTATTCATAACTCAGCTTGAATACTATTATACATTTAATCTCTACATTTTATCTTGCTACTGTGAATACTTCTAGTAGTTAACAGTACATATCACATCAAGCTGCAAACACTCAAATAATTATCTGCAAGCACTTATTCTTACATTTCAAGCTCAGTCAGTCAGTAACTGCCTGTTATGACTGAAAGAACTAGAAACTTATATACTTCAATCTCTGTAAACTCTACTGCAGACACTCAGAAGCAGTCATCTGAACTATAAATAATCTCTATGAAAGAAGTCTCAGAGAACTTATCAATCACTTATAGAACATCATTCTCTGCATCTGTGATAGAGAAACTCTTTAAATTCATGAATGAATTAATCTCAGTGAAGAACATTCTTAAGCATCTCTCACAGAATCAAGCTATTTTTCTATAAGAAATGCTTACTATCTGTAAACACTCTCAAACTAAGTCTCTAGACATGATCTTCAGAGACACTCACAAACTGAAAAGAAACTTTCTTAAGTTATGATCACTTAAGATCACTTATTGAACTATAATCTATAAAAGCTTTTACAAGTTTGTATTTAAAATTGACTTACAAGCTCAGCTGTGTGATATGAAAGATGAAGAAGCTGTTATCTATGTAATAACAGATCTCTATTACACTGAAGTCAAGAACTGACTGAATTATCTAGAGAATGATTATAAGAGATTCTGATAATCTATTCTCAAGATATATCTAGAGAACAAGTTGAAAGACTTTATAAATCAGACAGAGAACACCTGAGTTATAATCATTAATATTAGAAAAAGAGGTGAGAAATCTGATGAAGACTACTCACAGCACTTTATGAAATTATAGTATGAATTAAGACCTGTAAAAACAGGGCTCTGAAACAAGACCTGAATGATGATATTAATAAAGAGACTGAATAAAGATATGTAGAACAAGCTTATTAAATAAGACTCTAAGTTCTTAATTCTGAAGAAACTAATGACTAGACTGACCGTGTGACCGTGTCTGGGACCAGGACCAGATTTTTTGATAGTCTCATTACCAATTCGACTGATCTCATTACACGGTTTTAACATTAGATAGTAGTCTCATACTGTCTCAGTGGGACTTACTGTCTACTCTTGTCACATTTTCCAAATGGGACCATGATTTCCACTTCTCAATTTAAATTATTTTTATTGCTTTAAATGACTTTAAATCTCATTTGAGTGTTACCAAAAAGTGTTACTTTTTAAAAAATTAAAAATAGTCTAAAAAAAACCTTAAAATGTCTAAAAATAGTAACTTTATGCTAAGAATGGGACTAAATGGGACCAAATGAGACCACTTTCTCATTTTTTTCAAGTCATGGTTTCATTCTAAGATCTGATATATAGTCACTTTACCTGTTTTTTTGATAGCCAGTCCCAGCGGGATTCACGCCAAGAAATGTATGAGACCAGACCAAATGGGACCAAACGTGAAATTCATGGTCCCAGCGGCCAGTCTACTAATGACTCTCATTCATTACTTACAGATCACTGTGAGAGTCACAGATCTGTGAAGAGCAGATCATTAACTAACTCTGTGAGAGTCAGAATAACAGAGAACAGATTTATCAGAAAAAGATAATAAGACATAGAGAGATTTATATCTGACTGCTGAGTAGAGAGAGAGAGTTTTATAAGCTCTTATAAACAGAGTATATAATAGAGAGATTAAGAAAAAGAAACTCTGCTTTATCTGTTCTAAATCAGAATATCTTCATATAAACTGTCTGAATAAATCAAAATAGAAATTTAAGAAGTCACAGACAGAGTCAGCAACAGCCTTCTTAAGAGTCTTGAAGCTGATATCTGAATCTGTTACTCTCTCAATGAAAATACTTACTTACAGAGAGAGACTGCATTATAATACTGCTGCTCTGCAAGTATGAAAAGTATTGATGAACTCAGAATCTCAGATTACTGTGATGTCTCTAAAGCTCACAGAGTGAATAAGCTGAAAGATAAAGACTGAAAACCTGCTCTTGTAATAAGCAGAGTATAAGAACTCAGATCTGAGAGCTGAGAAACTTGTAAGAATTATCTTTGAATTACAAAATCTCTCTGAAATCTGAAGAAGATTTGCAGAAACTGTGATTATCACAGACATCACAGATAACATGTACTTGAGACTTGTATAACTTCAAAGATATAATCTGCACATAGCTGTTCATAAGTCAGATTTATACTTTCAATCAGTGTTGATAAACTCACTTACAAAGATAGAATCAGTTGATGCTGCAGAATTAATTAGAGAAGACAAGCTTATCTATATAATAGCTTTACAAGTGTCTGAGAATCTTATAATCATGAAAACTAAGCTTCAGATATCAGAGAAATACTGAGATCTCACAGAGATGTTCAGCTCAGTAAAGGCAGCTAAGCTTCTCTCTCATTATAAGAAGAATCTGATAATAGATTTAATAGAAGAGCAGAAACTCTTCTAAGAATCAATCTATAAGCTCTCTCATTACAAGACAGAGATCTTGTAAATCTATATAAAGAAGAATCTGAAGAATGACTTCATCTGATCTTTACAGGTCTCTGCAGAAGCCTCTGTAATATTTATAAAGAAGAAGAATAAAGATCTCAGATTATATATAGATTACTGTAATCTGAACTTCAAGATAATAAAGAGCTGCTATTTCCTGTCTCTGATTGAGAATGTGATTAATCATCTCACAGAAGCTGTCATATTCACATAACTGAATATGATTAATATATATACACAGCTGTGAATACAGTCTGAGAATGAATAAAAGACTGTCTTTAGAACTGCACTGAAATTATTTGAATATCTAGTAATATCTTTTAATCTGACTAATATCTCTACAGTATTCCAGTCTTTTATTAATAAAACACTTCATATATATCTGAATATCTTTGTAATAATATATCTGAATAATGTGATAATGTACTCTGTGAAGAAGAAAGAACACACTGAGCATGTACAAAGTATGTTAAAGGTCTTAGATGAGACAGAACTGTATATTAAGCTTATAAAGTGTAACTTCAGTGTCTATCAGATTAATTTTCTAGAATATATAATTACTGCAGATAATATTCAGATGAAATCTTCACAGATTAATTAAGACTATTTTATTATAACTGAAGTTAACTAGTATTTACAAGATTCAGATCTTTCTGAGCTTTGTGAATTTCTATAGACAGTTTATCTTTGTATTCATAAGAATCTTCTTGACTCTTACAGATATACTGAAGAATGAAAACAAGAAGAAGTCCTTCTATAAACAGAGAATGAAAAGATTATTAAGAAGAGAGAACTGTAAGAACTTTCTTATCTTAGAAGCTCACAGAGTCTTTATAAGATTAAAACAGATATTCACAGATACAGTGATGCTGTTTCACTTTGATCTCTTACTCTTAATCAGATTAAAGACAGATATCTTCTTCTTTATAATTTCAGAAATAATCTCATAACTACAGTTAAATGAAAACTGAGTTTCAGTGATCTTTTTCTCATAGAAGATACAATCTACAGAGATCAACTATAATATTCATAATCAGAAGCTTCTTATAATAGTGAAATTCTTTCATCACTGATATCACTACTTTAAGAGTCTTATAACAGTGATTACTGTTAAAACTGATTATAACAGCTTATAATAGTTTACTTCAATCAAGAAACTCTCACAGTGATAGATTCACTGAGCTCAGAAACTGAGTAAGTTCTGATTCAAGATAGAATATATCAAGAGAACTAAGAACTCAGCAGACAGACTCTCTCACAGATCAGACTATATTAAGAAGATCAGAGCAATAGATATAGAGAGACTAGAGAAGACAGAAAAGCTTTACAGAATACTTGAACTGAGTGTTATAAAGAGATTAACTGAAGAGTCTCTCAATTCTCTATAAGAGAAGAAGAAAGAGAGAGAAAAGAAGTCTGTACAACTACTCTCTATAACACTGAGAGTTAACACTCTGAAAATCTTCACAAGAATTCTTGAAGAGAGTATCTATAATCTGAAGAGTTTGTGAGCTTTGAGAAGCACTGTAGAAGACCTGATACAAGAAGAAACAGAGTATAAGTCTTTATAAAATCTTCTATTCAGATTATCTGAACTGTAACTGAAGAATAAATATACTCAGTATATTCAGAAACTGCTTATATCAGAAATCAATCCTGCAGAAATAAAGAATTGAAGAGACTTAAATAATCTCTTACAAAGAGAGAACTGAATTTATATATCTATAAATAAGTTTTCATGTATAGAACTTATTAGAAGGCATTATAACTCTTCTCTAGTAAGTCATTTTACAGATACTAGAACTCATGAGTTACTTATAAGAAAATACTTCTGATTAAAGATGTGAGAACTTGTGAAGAAGATAGTGAATTTTTATACTATTTATCAGAGTTCACAGATAGTGTGATTCAGATTATATAAAGAACTTACTTCTCTACTCATTCTACAGAAACCTTAAGAACAGCTAGAAATGAATACTCTTATAAGTCTTCTGAAAAGTAAGAACATATATAATACCTGCTTTGACAGTGTGCTGATGATAGTGAATTACTTTAT